TAACGGTAGCCCGTCTGCAGCGGCCAGGGCTAACGGTAGCCCGTCTGCTGCTGCACCCCTCTCTCAGCATAGTCGTGTGTGAAGGACCGCTGGCTCTGATGGCAATATTTTTGTTTTATTTGACAAAATTTTCATTTGATTTGTGTTTATCTGACTGTGTTCATTATTATTCCCCCACGAAATGAATAAGTCATAATTTTTTATTATCTAGAGACTATTAATAACAGGAGGTGAAATTAAGACTAGCTTTGAATGTGGTGATGTCATCAGTACTCTTCTGTTCTCTCTTAGTCCACAATTTTCTGTGTTCTTCTCAAGAACACAGAAGAATGAAGATTCTTATTCCAACCGTTGCGTATATTAGCTGCAACATATGAATCAAGATGCTATGATAAAAATAATTTGATTGACAGATGACCGTTGATATATGATTGGCTGAATTTAGGTGTTCAGGCTGACGTAGAACTAACTGGCCTGCAGAAGATAACGGAAAAAACACAGATTTTCAGACAAGGTTTTTTTCTTTTTATAGAAATGTTCTAAATCTTGGACAATATGGTCTGATAAAGAGAACATTTATATACATGTTTAATCCAGAATGATTTGACATTTAATATGACTTCCCTAAAACTTTAAGGGACGCATGGTTATTAGTGTTGCTCCGATGCTATTTTTTGCCGCCGATACCTGGCTGTGCAGTATTGATTTCAATCAGATGGTATCGGTATCACCCATACCGATACCATCTGATTGAAATTGATGTGTGTATTTATGAAGAACTGCATCCTGCTTGGATGTAAAATAATTGCTATCCTGGGTTTGTCAAGCTGCTGCCTACCTGGAATGGGGGACAATAGTTGAAGAAACTTTTGGCTCTCAAAATGGTATCAGAGCCCTATTGGTTGGTACTGGCTGATACCGATACACCATTTTACTGCTGGATCGGGGCCCCACAACACTAATGGTTATACAGTGGAGCCAAAAATTATTTAGTCAACCACAGATTGTGCAGGTTCTCCTGCTTAGAATAATGAGAGAGGTCTGTAATGTTCATCATAGCTACACTTCAACTATGAGAGATGAAAAATGAAAAAAATATCCAGGATTTCACACTGTAGGATTTTTAACGAATTTATTTGTAAATAAGGGTGGAAAATAAATATTTGGTCTCCCACAAACCAGCAAGATTTCTGTAATTTCTTCTTTAAAGGCACACTATGCAACATTTTTCAGTTAATTAATGTGTTCCATAACGTTTTGGATGATTAAATGAGTCATTTCAGGTTGAACAAAGGTATTCTCGGCCGCCCTGGTGGTCTGTGGGGGAAATACTGCACTTGCAACTGCAGGAGCCCACAGGCTCAGAAGTCTCGCGAGAGTAGGTCTTGCTTTACGGCGAGAACTGCTACA